GTAGGAAGAGAATCTGGTGAAGCTGAAAATCACAATATAGCATCGGTCTTATACCCATTAATGTGAAAAAAAATGATACAAAAACCAGGAATGATACAATATCTGACAGGATATGTGTCAGTGTTGCCACTGAGTAAAGTCCGTGTAGCATGATGTAGTATATACTGCAGAAACAGGGTGCTTTCTATTTAAATTTATCAAAGATAAACACTGTCAATACAAAATAAATAAATAAATCAATAAGATAAAACTTGCACTCATAGAAGCATCCAAATAAGAAGCATGAAGTACCAGGTCGATGTCCTATCGACCAGAAGATCCTCGTTGTTCCCTCCCGCCGGCTGGATAGGGGAAAGTCTGGATCTCGTTGAGGGGTTAGACATTGGATACCCGCCGCGTGCGCTCCACGTGCGTTCCCCTTCGCTGAGAGCTTGTGTAGGATGCCTGCCTTACGCGTTTCATGATCGGCTGATCACTTCATTAGAGGTAGGCATCACTTCAACTTTCTTCGGTTTATAAACCTCTCGGTCTAATTGGTACACAGGAATATAAACCCTTCATTGGGCAGCTTTCTTTATTAACATCATGATGATAAAAAAAGATCAATGTTGAACTAGCGAAAAATATATTGCAAAAAACAAAGACATAAAAAAGCATACACATCTCTGCAAACAAAATGACATATTAAAATAAACAATAAAGATACTATAAAAAACAAATTCCTATTTTAAAAGTATAATTTTTTTTACGTGTTTCATTAAGATGTAAGACGTAGGTATAACACATTTTCACAAGTACAAATGTTTTTGGCATATTGCTAAACATAGAACTGGCAGTGACATATAATACTGGGGTTGATCAACAAGTAACTTCTGATCGTACATTTTTACCCTTCCTATTTCGTAGGTTGGAGGGCAGAATTATCTCCATATGTGGGGTGTGCATCTCAGCGAGATCTTAGGACTTGGGATGGGGGTCCCAAGGGTGATGCAATGTTGGTAGCTATAAGCAGTGTAGCCTTCCGGGGGGTACCGGGGACCTTTTTTGTAGCCTCGGTTAAGTCACAGGTGTCCCACAGGTGCACAGTTAAGAAAAATATAATTGTAATTTATATAATATGCATAGGGCATGTAAATCTGGGAGTGCAACCATGTGGGGCATCTGGTGCACAGTAGTACATAGGACCCAGCCTGATCTTGGACATGGTTCTGGGTTTACTAGGAGAACTGCCAGATCCGTGGTGAGGATATCTTGCTGTTTGCAGCAATCAGTAATTAGCAGTTGGAATGCACCCAGAGGGCTTGGTTTCATTGTATCAGGATGTGATGCTGTCTGTATGCCCTTGGCCACTTTATACATTAGCAGTGGGTAGGAATCTATGAAGTTAGGTAGCCAGTTGACCTTACTCAGTTTACTCGCATTCTTACTGGGTTTTCTAGCTGGTCTCAGGGTGTGTACGCTAGAGTTGGTAATAACTAATATCTAAGTGCTTGGGGGTTGAACTTGAGAGAACTTGGGGGGGTTAACGGGGATACTCTGCCTTATCTTTTTTTGTAGCGCTTCTCGCAGGCTTAGTGCTAATATCCACTGTTCCAGTCTCAGGTGGGCCTGGGGAGAGGTCGGTGGGGATCTCCAGTGAAGGGAACCTGTATGGACTGATGTCTGGGGGCATTTTAGGGTAGCGTGCCTGGTCTGTCTGCCCATTTGGACCAGATGCGTTCAAATCTCTCAGGGGATCCAACTATTCTGTGTGAGATTTTTTCATATTGCTAAATGAGATTCAGCTTTTCAATAACTAGGGCTGTGTCTGGTTGTTTGGTCGATTTCCACGAAGTGGCTATGCAGTTTTTTGCTGCTAGTGTGATGTGGATGGCTAGTGCAGCTTTATATTTTGTAAGTGTGTTTGGTAGAAGATGAAGGTAACTCTCCGGTTGGAGTGCTCTTTTCTATGAGTTGTTGGACCTGTTGCCAGCACATTTGTTGAGCTCCAGGGTATATGTGGGCTAGCCTCTGGGGTGTGAGATACTATCTCATCCACAGTTTGTACACTGCTTCTATGTGGTCTAAACAGTGTGTAGCTTTTTTCATTTGTTGCATTGCTGCTAGCCATCTACTCATTTCGATATGGCTCCCTAATTCTTTTTCCCATTAGACCATGTATCCCATTTTTTCAGGTTTATCTATCTCTAGTAGCCATCTTTAGCTGAGAGAGAGAGTGATTTGTTAAGGCTGGGGCGGCCTAGGCACAATGTGTCTATGGACCCAATGGTTGGGTGTTCCCTGTACTCAGGTTGGTGGTCCTCAGGATGTGTTTGATACGTCAATAGTTCATTGTTAGGCAGTTGCTATAGCTTTTGAAGTCAGGACATTGTTGTATCTCCCCATCTATTAGCAGGTGTGTTACCATGGTAACCTCCCTCTCCAGACATCTATCCAATGTTAGGTCAGGTGGACAGTATTGTAAATTAGTTAGTGGGACATACATGTCTACGGGTCGCTGCAGCATTTTGGGTGCCGATCTTGCCCATATGTGAAGGGATACTTTGGAGGACATCAGGAGAGTTATCTGTCGGGGTTAGGAGCGGGTGGGCATCCATATCAGGTCTGTCAGTGAGTGTGGTGCGCTAATCACATTTTCCAGCTGAAGCCACAAAGGGTTTTGACGATTAGAAAGGAGCCTTGCTGTTTGGGCCAGGTTGGTTGCCAAATAGTATTTAGAGATATTAGGGACTCCCACGCCTCCTCCCCCCCATGACCAATCCCATGCTGCATAGGGATACCCTAGGTGGATTCTTCTTCCATATATGTGCGTTCAACATACGTTGAAACTGAACTAGAGTTTTTTGGGGAATTTTAATGAGCAATGCTCTGAATAGGAAGAGCAGCTGGGGGAAACAATCATTTAATATGACTCAGTCAGGAGGAATGTTTTTTTCCCCCAGCCCTCCAGTACCAAGTTAGTCTTTGTCAGTATTTTGTCGTGGTTATATTTTAGTATGTGATGTTTTGATAGCGTTGTATAGCCAGGTAAGAGATGGTAACTTTCCTCCACTCGAATGGGTAGAGTGCCTTCAGGTCAATGAGAGTGGTACTTGCTATGTGCACTGACAGTACCTGTGTTTTAGCTACATTATTTTTGTAGTATGATACCCGTCTGTAGTCAGCGATGAGTTTTTTAAAGGCTTTGGAGGGTTGGTGAGGAATAAAAGTATGTCGTCCGCGAAGAGGGCTATCTTTGGGGTCCTATTGGTGACAGCACTCCGAAAATAGAGTTGGCCCTCTTTATTTTGTGTATTAGGGGTTCTAATGCTAATATGAAAATTAGTGTTGAGAGAGGGCATCCCTGCCTGGTCCCGATAGTAAGGGCACATAGTTTGGAGAAGAAGTCCAAGCTCATGACTGAGGCTCATGGGGATGAGTAAAGGGAGAGGAGGCCTGTCACAAATTTGGTTGGGAATTTAAGCCAGTGTAAAATTTGTCATATACCCCCAGTGGAGCTGGTCAAAGGCCTTCTCCATGTCTTGGGCAATCACTAGGCAATCACTAGGCCTTGTATTCTATTAGTGGCCATGATTTAGTGGCCAAGTATGTCCAGTGCCTGTCTGGTGTTATCTTCCACTTGTCGGCCCGGGACAAACCCCTCCTGTTCAAGAGAAACAAGTTCAGAGAGCAGGGGGTGGGTTCTATTAGCTAGAATTTTTGCGAAGAGCTTAGTGTCCACATTCAGTAACGAGATCGGCCTATAGTTTGCACAGGAGGTCAGTGGTTTGCCTGGTTTGGGGATTGTGACTATAGTGGCATCGAGCATATCCGGTGATATTTGGCCTGTCTCTAGGATATGGTTGAACAGGGCTGTCAGGTGTGGGAGTAGTTGATCCTTGAATACCTTATATTAGTGGGTGGAGAATCCGTCAGGGCCTGGGGCTTTGTGTCGTGGGGTGGCGTGCAGTGCTTTGATACTTCGTCTGTAGTGATTGGTTTGTCCAGGTTGTTGGTTTGGTCGCTGGTAAGTTGGGGAATGTCTATCCCATCAAGAAAGGCAAGTATGTCAGAGTACGTCGGCATGGATGTAGGAACCCCAAAAAATCTAGGGGGG